TTCTTGGTAGTGTGGATGAGCAGAAAGATCTCGGTGTCCATGTGCATAGATCACTGAAAGTTGCCACCCAGGTTGGTAGCGTTGTTAAGAAGGCGTACAGTATGTTAGGTTTTATTGGTAGAGGGATTGAGTTTCGGAGCCATGAGGTCATGTTGCAGCTGTACAAAACTCTGGTGCGGCCGCACTTGGAGTATTGCGTACAGTTCTGGTCACCGCATTATAGGAAGGATGTGGAAGCATTGGAAAGGGTGCAGAGGAGATTTACCAGGATGTTGCCTGGTATGGAGGGAAAGTCTTATGAGGAAAGGCTGAGGGTCTTGAGGCTGTTTTCGTTAGAGAGAAGAAGGTTAAGAGGTGACTTGATAGAGACATACAAGATGATCAGAGGATTAGATAGGGTGGACAGTGGGAGCCTTTTTCCTCGGATGGTGATGGCTAGCACGAGGGGACATAGCTTTAAATTGAGGGGTGATAGATATAGGACAGATGTCAGAGGTAGGTTCTTTACTCAGAGAGTAGTAAGGGCGTGGAATGCCCTGCCTGCAAAAATAGTAGACTTGCCCACTTTAAGGGCATTTAAATGGTCATTGGATAAACATATGGATAATAATGGAATAGTTTAGGTTAGATGGGCTTCAGATTGGTTTCACAGGTCGGCGCAACATCGAGGGCCAAAGGGCCTGTACTGCGCTGTAATGTTCTATGCTCTATGTTCTATGTTCTATGAAACACGCCATTCACTACCTAACTAGGACCGTGCTGACTGGACCAAACAGGAGACACTCTCCCATCAAGAAACACTACCCACTATCCAACTAGCTCATGCCACCTGCTCCAACTGGGACATGCTACCACCTGCAGAAACAAGACCCACTACCTTGTACCAACCAGGACAAGCTGTCATCCTGGTAAGACCTGTGCTTTCCATTTAGTTACGCATGCTAAAGAAGGCTTCCCCCACTTCGCTGCTGTAGCCTCAGTAGAAGAAGGGCAGAAATTCATAGCTATTAACTTTTGAGCTACGGAGCAAATTATGTCAGGACTTTCAAGTTGCTGCGGCCACGAGGTTGTATGGGGATGGAAACCTCAGGGAACACGGGGTGGTTGGTTCTCTGGCCAATCTACCGTTAGACTGGACAAAGTGTGGTGGACAAGCTATGGTGAGGTCTCCAAAGTGTTGATTCTGCTCATGTACCGTTCCAGACCTCGGTGCTAATCTCAAAGCAGAGCCCACACTCAAACTGCTGACAGATGCCAGCTGATCAGCAGTGTGTTTTCACCATTATTTGTGTGTGTGTGTGTGTGTGTGTCTACAAGGCAGATTAACATTTTTGCATCTGGGAGCTCTCTACCACAGACACAGAAGACTGTGGAAACCAGGAGGAGGAATAGAATTTCATTCAAAATAACTGAAAAAGACAGCAAGCATAGGTGGGTGAGGCTGGTCGCTCATTGTAATCTAACTCAAGTGGCTTTGCATCCTGGAGTTGTCAGCTAAGGAGCACTGGAGTTGATGGGGAGCAGTGCAAGTTCTATCCTTTTCTGATACCTTCGCCTGCCCAGCTGGCTCGTGTAACTCCTATTGATTCTTTGTTGGCCCTCCTACTCCAAGTAAGTGGCTGGACAGCCAAATATCCACAGTAGCCATTTCCACAAGGTGCAGCCCTTTGGCATTCTGCCAGCCAGTGAGCTCCAGTGTCTACCTTCTGCCTCATGTCTGAGCGTTAGCATTAATGATTCAACATGTAACATCTACATAGCAATCCTCCACACAGACTGATCATTGTTAAGAAATACTGATGGAGGAACAGTCCTTCTCTCTCTTCCCCTTCTTTGATTCCTCACTCCATTGTTATCTCAGTCTAAGTACACATTCTCCACTTTTCGTAGACATCATACATTATGTAATCACTGGTGGACCAGAAATGTTTAGTTTAATACTAGTGACTTAATACAGTTGGAAAGCTGAGAACTACAGGAGAGATTCAAAGTTGGAAGTGACATTCAGGCTAAGATGCAATGGCTCCGTTTAGGTTCTGTAAGGCTTGTCTCGTGATGTGGTTCAAATCCAAGTTTCCTTTCCAGAGGCCTGAGTGAGTTCTCTTAACAGACATGCCAGTGCGGCAACGAAGGAGGAGTGCACAATTCAAGGTGTTACCTTTAGGATGACACACTAAGGCAAGGCTCCAAATGCCTGCTGAAATGGAAGCTAATACTCCCCTGACTACAGTTCCAATAAGAACAATATAGTTCTTCTAATGGTCTGATGACAACCAATCCCCTCTCACTTTAAAAAAAAAACTGTCAATTTATCCAGCTCCTGTTATTGAGACTGTGCTGTGTACAAATCCCACCAGGATCCCGAGAAGGTGACTGGCACTATATAAATGCAAGGTCTTTTTGTTTCATTCGCCACTGTTCCGTTTTCCTGTAAGTGGGTGAAAATATTCATGCTTGTTATTCCTTAGCAATCATTAGGATGTTAAAGCAGAGTAGGTTCTGGGAGAGGCAGTGCTATAATTATATAGCAGCTTTTGGTAAATATTAATCACCTTGTATAAAATAGTTCAAGTTGTATTCTTGAGAAGTCCGTTTCAGCATACATTTTCTACAATCTGAGGATTTACACTGTGAAGACACAATTTAAACCTCTAAAACTGGTTTAAAACTGCAAATGCCCCCACACCAGGTAATTTTCACAATAGATACTAATTTCCACTGTTAACTTTTGCAGAACTGATTGGTATAAATCTCCTGGACAAACTATCAACAACTTCTCTCAAAAGCATCGCTATATGTCTATAAAGGTGCAGGTCTCATCTCAGGAATGCTGGATGGAATTGAGCAACCACATGCGTTGTCTTATCGAACATCAATATGCGCATTGAATTGTCAAATTAAGTGAAAACTGTCTCAGTGACAATTTTAAATTATCAGTAAAGGGAAAAGGGAGAGGAGTTACAAGAAATTTCTTTTTGCAGAGAATTGTTAAGGCATGAAATGTTTTGCTCAAGGAGATATTAAAGTAGAGGCAATGCATCTTTTAAGGAAAGGCTAAATAAATATTTGAACCTCATCCATTGATTATACGGTAACAGAATTTGGAGCAAACGGGTAACAGTTGCTGAGTTTTTAAGCAATACATTTTTCCTTTTGCAAAGTTACTTTTTAATCAGAGTGAGCTTGTCTTACAAACTGCTCTAAGAGGAATCACATTTAAATTCATAAACTTTAAACTTACATTAACTGTCTTAAAAACCAAAACAAACTGTGGATGCTGTATATCAGAAACAAAAACAGAAATTGCTAGAAAAGCTCCTCTTTATCAACTTCAACATACTGCTGCTTATGACTTAGTTCCTGATGCAGAAAAGCTGCTGCCTAAATAAAAACACAATTGCTGGCTTCAACGTAACTTACAGTGCGGTACAGTGGAGCTATTATTTAGACCAGGCATATATACATTTAAGTGTTGCTTGAATTGTAGCCATTGGGATGTCACCCAAGTGTTATACAGGAAGCCCCCAGGGCACGACCCACGTTGGGAAGGATGGAATCCAGAATCATACTGCTGAGTCCTTGTCCCAGATCATGCAGCCTGACTGGGAGATGGTTCACCTTTTCTGAAATACTTCTGGCAATTCTGTTTGTTGCAAAGCATCAAGGCCCATTATGCAGACAAGCAAAAAGAACCCTATGAGAAAGGACTGCCGCTCAAGGCAGCATTGTGTGTTGTGTTGCAAACACAAGCCCTGGGCCTCCTTATAGCCATAATATTATGTGAAATGGAACAGCAGAGTCAGATGTCAACCAGCGAAATTGGCAGAGAAGCTGGGGGGGGGAAATAAAAATCTTTCATGTACAGTAACAGCCATTTGGGTGACATCACTGGGTCAATGGCAAACACAATTACAGCTGGGCACAGCGCACTTCATTTAGGTCACAGAAATTTATCATCTATTTTAAATATGGATTTCAGATAATCACAGCACTTAAGCCAAAAGAATATTCTGTGCATTATTTATTACCGAATTTCAAACTAGAGCTGAAAGGGTAATTTTCCCTAAATTTATAACACTGGTTGACATTTAAATACGTTTTCATAACTTTTCAAATGTATTTTAAAGACCAGTTATATTTAGATGACAGGGTAATACAGGGACAGATGATAGTGCTTTATTGCTTGACTTTAATGAGCATGTGAAGCCTGTCACTGTCCTTGGCGATGCAGCCCTCACATAGTAAAGTTAGCATGTTAAATATCAGCCAATATTCTGCCTAATACAGGGCTCAAATTAGCAATAGTTTGAGCAAGATGCTCAGTCAGTTACAGCTCAAGTGGGCAAAGAGTGACAATTATTGCTGGCTCTCTGACCACTTCGTATTTCTCCTCTCGAGTTGATATTTTATTTCGTTAGGGGTACATTTTCATAGATATGGGAAGCAACCTAAGGAGGCATTTTCTCATGATGATCCACGAGATTTTCTTTTCCATTGTCCACACACACACACACAAACACACACAACACACACTCAAACAAAACACATTTAGTTTCAACAGCCATGATTTGTTCTGCTATCTAATTCTGGAAGATGGTTCTTTAATATTTCGGACGGAGCGAGGTAATTTTCCTCTTGGGTGATCTGCACATCAATAATAACACTTGGGTTTTCAACAAAACAAAGAATCCTTTGAAAAGCAAAAATAAAAATGTTTTATAATTGGATAGTTAAAACCATTGTGAGAAAAACAATTGGAAAGTAACTACAAACCTTTTAGTGAACATTTCAACTAAGCTTTCTTCTGACTCTTAGCTTCTGGTTAATACCTGATTATCTGACTACATCATTCTACACAGCTCTTGTTAAGTGAATAAAATACTTTGTCTGTTTTATTACCATCTATAAGATGGGATATTACAATTATCAGCAATCATTCTCTTTTACATATCCAAGACTTGTCATCTTTTCAGAATATTTTAAGTAAATTTAGTCAAGGCAGATGACAGTAGTTCTGTGCATTTATTCATTTATGAGCTCTTAAAAATTACACTGTGGTACTCAAGGCAGAACTACTTGGAACTTATTCAGCAGGGGAGAGGGTTCGCTAGCACTAAGGCTGAGGAGACATTGACAGTTTGAAGCAGTAGCCAAGTTGAGCCAAAGCTAAAGAATGGGTGACAACGTTTATGGTTCAACGTCCATTGCCTTCATAGTGTCTGATCACCGTCTTCGATTTGACTGAGGCACAAAGCCAGTTTAAATGGTTAATGCCTTGGTTAAAATTACAGTCTGAGGAAAGGCATAGGGAAGCACTAGCAGCCTCAGCAATAAACCTCAGTAAGAACTGTTTCTCACTGGGATCACTGTGGTGACATCTGCTGATAAGGAACGGATTGTAATGATCCTTTTTCGTTACTTTTGTGAAGCAAAGGAGACAGCGGAGATTTGTTACGAATAGAAAAGGTGGAGGAAGCAGGAAACACCTTCATTTATTTTTTGTTGGCTTGGAAATTGCAACAAAGGATGACACTATGTGTTATATTGAAAGCTATAGTCAGGACCCACAATGACTATGCCAAGCAATTGCCCATAGCTACGGATCAGTCAGAAATGCAGGGAAGATGACAGTGAATCTGTGCAGCATTAGTTGGGGAATCAGATTCAAACATAATGTTCAGAGGATTGGATCTCCACATAAGATTTGCAGGGCAACATGGCAATTGGGTGTGGAGCTCCTCCTTCATTTCTTTCAATTTTTGGGGAGTAGAGAGTAATTGAATAGCTCTTCTAAAGATTCAGCATAAAGAAAGATGGGCCAAACAGCCTCCATCTATGCTGGTTCATTCTGCAAGGCAAGAAAGTTTAGAGGAATGGTTGAACATGGTGGTTTTGATAAAATGGAAAATGTCTTGAAAGGTTCCAACACACAGAAGTATAGAGAAAGAAGGTTGGAAAATTCATACAATCCCTACAGTGTGGAAGCAGGCCACTTGATCCATTTAGTGCACAGCAACACTTCAAAGAGCATTCATGTAGTCCCAAGCCTCTATCCTATTCCTGAAGCCCTGTATCTCCAATGGCTAATCCACCCAGCCACATCCCTGACACAATGGGCAATTCAGCATGGCCAATCCACCTAACCTGCACACCTTTGGACGATGGGGAGAAACCAGAGCAATATCACGCAGACGGGGGGAGAATGTGCAAACCCCACATAGACAGGTGCCCGAGGGTGGAATTAAACCCTGCTCCCTGGTGCTGTGAAGCAGCAGTGCTAACCACTGAGCCACAGTGCCACCCTGAATACATCTCCATGGGCTGTAGGAGGTGGAACAAAAAGTGATTGGTTTGCCCCTTTGCATCTCTGTGTATCCAATCACCACTGTACAGGCAATTTTTGGGGCTTAATGGAAAGACTTCTCTGTTCACAACAAACCTCCACTGTCACCTCTGCTTCATGAGAGTAACAAAAAAATTGAAAGAAATGAAGGAGGGGCTCCACACCCAATTGGCATGTTATAGTGGGGCTAACAGATAGTCAGCCCCAGCTAGAATTGCAAAGGCCCAGTGCTCAAATAATCAGCACCTTATTTTATTGAAAACACAGAAGTACTCTGAGAAATGTAGCATAAAACATACAGACTCTGGCACTCTGTCGAGTAGATTTGGCTATGCCATTCAACTGTGATCTCAGTGCAGACTTTCTCTCCTGTTCTTTTGCCACCTTGTTACAGCTGCTGCAAAAGAAAACATTTTCACCTCTGATGCCTGAAAAGCAACACAGCTGCCAGGCAAGGTAGAGTGACAGGGGATGAATAATTACAGTTCTGCAGCAAAGTGCTTTCAAACTGGTAAGTGGACTCCCGAATTCTATGCCCTGTCAACTTTTGTCATTTGGGAGATTGGCGTGATGTGGTCGTACTGCCAACATGTCATTGTCATCATGATGAATTTGATTTTTGTCTGGGGTGAAGGCGGGGGGGCACCTAATTGTAAGATCCACTCAAGTCTGCTGCTGCCCTCTCTCCCCACTCCAACATAACAGAAGCTGCAACTGTTGTGCTGTTCAGTGGGAAAGATTTCTTTACGATTTGTCAGATTTGAGGAACTTGTTAGAAATAAAATAGAGTCACAGAGTCACACAGCACGGAAACAGACCCTTCTGCCCAACTTGTCCAAGGCGACCAGGTTTCCCAAACTAAACGAGTGCCATTTGCTTGTGTTTGGCCTGTATCCCTCTACACATTTCCGATTCACGTACCTGTCCAAATGTCTTTTAAACGTTTCAACCATACATGCATCTACTGCTACTTCTGACAGCTCATTCCATACACGCACCACCCTCTGTGTGAAAACACTGACCCTCAGGTCCCTTTTAAATCTTTACCCCCTCACCTTAAACCTATGCCCTCTAGTTTTGGACTCCCCTACCCTGGGGAAAAGACCTTGGCTGTTCACTTTATTTATGTCCCTCATGATTTTATTAACCTCTGTAAGGTCACCCCTCAACCTCCTACGTTGCAGGGGAAAAAGTCCAGCCAAACCAGTCTCTCCTTTTAACTCAAACCCTCCAGTCTCAGGAATATCCTTGTAAATCTTTTCTGCATCCTTTCCACTTTAATAACATGCATCCTTTAACAGGGCAACCAGAATTGTACGCAATATTCCAAAAGTGGTCTCACAATGTCCTGTGCAGCTGCAACATATCATCCCACCTCCTACTCAATGCTCTGACTAATGAAGACAAGAGTAGCAAATGCTTTCTTCACCACACTGTCTATCTGTGACACCATTTTCAAGGAACTATGCAAGTCCTCTAAAATAAAAGTTGAAGGCTTGGGAAGCAAGCATGCTTGCTGTAAATATGACCTGTGCCCATCTATAGTGTGGCAACTACGAAACAAATCTCCTTTAAGAAGTAACCATCCCTTTAATTCTGTACCTTTTTTTTAGTTGGGTGGGGGGGAAAGATTACAGGATAGCCACCACAATGGGTTTGTCCAATGGTGGTGGTGAGCTTTGGTTACTCTGGGTCAGTCAGAGCTAAGGTTAATTTATTGCAGTGTTGCAACACACAACTGATTGCTTTTTTTTTTGAAGAGGAATTGGGGAAGGAAACAAAATGCCACAGGGTGTGCTGATCCTTCTTTAAATTGAGTTGAATCACACAGAGGTTCCACGACGAAAATGTGTTTCAAGCCTCCGACTGGTGACCTCCATCGGAGACAGACTGCAGACCGGAGAACCAGCCAGCTCCTGTAACACAAGTCCATGCCCCAGTTGTTCATGTCTCATGAGGTATCAGTACTCGCTTGGTCACTATTGCATAAATGGCCCGCAGCAGGCATTCCATTGACATGCAGTGTAAAGGGCTAAGTAACACCACGTGGATGCTGTGCTTCCCAAAGGGGACTAAAAACAAAACAGAAGCCGCTGAGGGCTGGGGATTGAAGGCAGTGGGGGCTGGGATTTGGTCTCTCTAATGGAGAAGATACTGGCAGATTGCTGACATATGGAGGAAAGGTCGCAGGGTACATGCATTGCAAGGGAGCGCTGCTTGTAAAATATGATGGATTCTTTGTGCAGCTTGTGTTCATTAGCAGTTTTATCATCATATAATGTTCTGTTTAAGCCCTAACTCAAGAGCAACGAGACAGCTTTTTGTCTTGTGTGACATGAGAGGGTGGTAAATGATGTCATGGTTCCTGGACAGCTAAGCCACCAGCTCCTGAACTAACTCTTGGGAATTCCAGTTTCAGTCATGGGCCTTTCGCTAATGTTTTTAACAACACTGTTTAGATGTCAGTGGGTCTGACTGTCAGACGTCTGTGCATGTTTGATGCTAATGGAGGGAATGCTGCTTTTTGACAATGATCTTTCAGCTGAGGCCTGTATCAGTAGTTTCAGATGGTTGTTATGGATGCCAAGCCTTAATTGGAAGCGAGGGAACAAGGGCTTTTAACATCCTGGTCATCTTCCTAATTCTCCTGGAATAACTACTACAAATGGGTGCTGATCATTCACATCAACAACAGCTTCCACCCAAAAATGGCTGCTATGTACATCTCCAATGACAACAGACACGCTACTTTCATTCAGGTAAGGCAGAACAGACATGATGGGCTGAATGGCCCTTATGTCTAATAGTCTCTGTGATGCTTGTGAGCTATGTGATAATGCAGTGTGAAAATACCAGTCATTCCTTCATCCCTCCTTTTAATGTTTTTTCATTGTATTTTTCTTTCCTTTCAAATTGATGGTTGGAATTTAATCCGTAAGGCACAGGTCCTGATACAGCGGAAGTATGAGCCAGCAATGGAGGCATTTCCGAGAAGGTTCAGTAGATTAATTGCAGAGATGAAAGGCTTGTTTTATGAAGAGGCCCATGTTTACCAGAGTTTGGAAGGATGGGAGTGAAATAATTCCACAGAGTCCTGCATCCTGTTCTCAAGTCACCCTTTATTTATACATGAACAGTCCCTGACTTTAGTACTGCCTCTTCTGAGTCAGCTATCAGAGTGTCAATATTTTCAACACTTTTTTTTAACTTGTCAGCCAAGGCTCACTGATTGGGGCCCTTAATCTGATCCAATCAGGGAGCTCATATTCTATGAGGCCCAGATAGCTGACCTCATTACAATCACTACAACAAGCCGACTGTCTGCGTGGAGTTTGCACGTTCTCCCCGTGTTTGCGTGGGTTTCCTCCGGGTGCTCCGGTTTCCTCCCACAGTCCAAACAATGTGCAGGTGAGGTGGATTGGCCATGCTAAATTGCCCAAAGTGTTGAGGGATGCCTAGATTAGATGTGTTATGTGTGATGGGTCTGGGTGAGATCCTCTGAAGGTTGGTGTGGATTTGTTGGGCCAAAGGGCCTGTTTCCACGCTATAGGGATTCCATGATTCAAAAGGAGATCTGACTGAGGTATACAAGATGCTAAACAAGATGCTAAAAAGTAGACGCAGAAAGGGCGCAACTCCATGTGGGGCAAACTAGAACGAAAGGTCATAGTTTTCAGGTAGGAGGGTAGGAGATTGAAAACAGAAATGAGGAGGATTACTTCTCTTAGAGGATCATAAATCTGTTGAATTCACTCCCGCAGAGTGCAGTAGATGCCAGGACGTTGAGTAAATTTAAGGAGGAGAGAGACATTTTTAATTAATCATGGATCAAAGGGTTATGAAGAGCAGGCAGGAAAGTGGAGACGAGATGAGCCATGATCATATTAAATGGCAGAGCAGGCTCGAGGGACTGAACGGCCTACTCCTGATCTTAGTTCTTATCAGCCATTTCCTCTTGCTTGCATTCAACTGGCAGATGGTGAATTTAATATTAATGTTAAAGGGTGGGTGGTGGGCACACATGGCAGGAGTGGGCAGGAACTGGCCGAGTCTACTGTCAGGAGATTGCTCTCAGTTCTGGGTTTCTACAAGATACCATCCCCTAAGGGCAGGCCTACAGGCCCTGCAAGCAGGGAGCAGCTCAGCTCACCTCAGGGGGACCTGACTGAGGTTGCAGATTTGAAAGAAGAGATTTGGAACCCAAGTCACCATCTCACTTTGCAGCTCAAAATCTTCTACCCCACCCCCTCATAATTCTATATCAGAAGCCCCATTGCCCCCACACCTTCTGCAGTCCAGTCACCTCCTGAGAAACCCGTCCCTGCTTCACCATGCAGCTACCAAGAGTCCAGTTCTACCAAGATTCTCCTGCTCCCTTCTGCTCCCACTATTCAACAAAGAGGACTGCTCAGCCATTTTCCGAGTGGACCACCTCTCCTGGTGCCTGACATCTTTAACCGGGCACAAGGCAGGTGGTACATGCTGACCCTTTGTTGTTGGCCCAATATTGGAGTCTGATTAAATTTGGAGAGGTTATGATTCAATGAGTATTCATGACTCACAAATGTAGGGAAGAAAGGTTCCAGTCCTGACCTACTCCAGGAACCCCCTGACTTAATCCCTTGGACTCTGTCCATTGTTGAGAGCCATGAACTCTGCTTCTGCCTATTTCAGTCACCCTACCCATAATGATTCCTTCTCTCAGTAGCCCAGTAAATAAATGTGTCACTGGTGCTAAGTCAATGCAGAATCTGGTGCCTCTAGACTTTCAGCAGCGTACTGGCTGCTGCGATACAAAGACTCACAGTAACAGTTTGGTTTAACTGAGTGGCACAAACCAAAGGAGCCTTTGGTCTTCTTTAAGTGCAGCAGTAGGTGTCTGTAGGGGTAGATGCACACGATTGGGCAGTGCATTGCTCAGCATATTGATGAACGCGGAGCTCGAGTGAAGCCAACGAGTCATCTGTCAGGGGAGCAGCTGTGGACCCTGAATGACACGCTCAAAGGCCACGATGACAATGACGTCATTCTCAGCCCCGACTACTCCCCGCCACTTCCTAAATTGTTGGAACGGCCCGAAAGAAAGAATTGATCGGATTTTCCCGTGGAATGGGCTGGGGGAAGTTCGCTGGCCCATTCTTTTTATTGCAAATGCAGGGACGGTGGGGCCTGCACACTAGTTGGCTGATCAGACGTTGCCTTTAACTCTTCGGGTCCCACACAGCAGGCGAAATGCCTGGCAAACTCCCAGCAGTAAATGGCACACCAAGATGTCCTTTTTTCCCTCCTCTTGTTCACTATTCTTACTTCTGTGCCATCCTGCCAGCTGGATTTGTGTATGGGGAGGGTAGGGGAATGCCCCCCACCATGGGTTTATGGAGCCTCAAGCATTTTCCAAATGCAGCAGTGCTATGTGCTCATACCATTTAGCTACTGCCCAAACAGGCAGAGTCAAAGGTGACGTGTGCCCACAAGTCACTCTTCTCCTGAAGTGAAAGCTTTGAAATAACACACAGGGTGTTGTATCTACCGCTCCAGTTTACAAACAGTGACATCAGTGATTCAGGGCAGAATTGGTGGATGCCGTTTGGATGTCACCTGGGAATCAGCAACATGGGGCTAAGTGGCGGGCTAAGTGGCAGCCATCTTGGCAGCACTGATGACACTGTTCGCCGTCATCCTGATCGAGTGATCCCTGCCACCCCAGCTGGGGCTTACAAGGAGTATGTGGTGTCCCGTGCTTTCTGCAAAGTGAGCTCCACTTGGCGAGCTCCACTTGCCACGTATTGGTTTTGAACACAGGGGCAGCGACTCTCCTAGGCTCATGTCCACCTCTCCTACTCTCCTCCCTCAGCGAGTCAATGAATCCACTCACACCATTATTGCGCAGGGAGATAGGAAGAAGTTGGATGCTCTGTTGCTTAAGACAGGTTGCTGGAGTTCAAGGTCTTTTTCAGATTACTGTTTATTCACCATTCCATAATTTATTTACACTCTTACCAGCGCATCAGTTGCACAGTTGCGTCACTCTTCAGTATCTCCATCATGACATCTCAAACACCACTGCTGACATAACTTATTTACACATTTTTTATTAGTTTCTTTGTATTTTTAAATATTAATGCTTTATGCTGCACTCACCAAGTAACTGGTTAAATGAATTAGGAGGATAAAGCAGATTTCCAAGCTGCTCATGTCTAACAGGGGAGTACCCTGTGTTCACAAGATAAATAAGGTTGAGAAAGACCACTCAATCCATTCTAACTCAGGCTCCCTTTCTCATTGTCCAATAGCGCTGCAAGATTTTGTCTCTACTAGTTTACCAAGACCAGTGTGAGCACTCCTGAGATGACAAAAACTCTTTAAACCATAATTTTCATTTCTGGCAGAGTCACATATAAGCCAGACCAGGTAATGATGGCAAATTTCTTTCCCTAAAGGGCATTAGGGAACCAGATGGAATTTTTCAACAATTGTTGATAGTTGTCATAGACACCATTAGTGAGGCTACCCTTATATTGCAGATTTATTAAGTGAATTCAGTTTAAAAGTGACCGTTTTGCTAAAGTATTTTTCAGGTTTACTGCTGACTATTTTAACAGCTTATACTTTAAATTGCTTTCACACAAATCAATTGATATTAATCAATAGGTTTGTGAGTCTTGATGACAGGTGATTTTTTCAGCATCAGGATTTCCTGAAAGGGGGCTGGATTGTAACCTTGCGCAGTTTCTATTCATCTCAACATCCCAAAACATATTACACAACAGAATAATGACATTTTTTAATCATATTGATGCTCCCAGTCTCACTTTCCCAACTATGCAGGGGAAATATTGCCTCTGCTGTGTTGAATCATCAGCCACGCACTGAAATGGTGCGAGTCCTCATACTGTGACTCCTCCAGGCCTCAATACTCCAACATGGATTTACAGTGCTGTATTAACTCATTGTTCTGCCATTTAAGTTAGCAATGCCTGCCCAAGGAATTGCTAATGCATCACATCCCAGTTCAGGTTCCATATCACAGAAGAATTTTGCCCTTGTTCCCTATCATCAAAGGCTGTTTCCATTTATTTTACTCAGGTAACCCTGGTGACCTATTGCCATGGAAGTAGCCACCACATCCTGAGACACAGCCTATTCTTAAAGATCCAAGTCTACAAACTAAACTGATCCTTGTTCTTGTGATAGTCAGGTATAATCACAATGCATTACTGCATTTACGTTCTGTTATCATAATGATGATCATGCCTGAGCACCCTAGGTAGACAACTAACACCAATCCTTCTTCCTATGCTGGACTTGGGCCTTTCTAGTATTCTGCAGTGATCAACAAACCGTGAACCAACCTCGGTGGAAGAGGCTCTTCTCTTACATCTGTTTACAATGTACACACATTATATTGATGGTGGCACCACGAGGCTTAGGAGACACAATCGTCTCCAACTACAACTCTGCAGAACCGCCGAAGGTGCCCACGTGGCTATGTTGTATGTCAGAGTGGTCAGACCCTCAGCTTAGTTCAGATTAACCTCTTCAGATCAGACCCTTGTACAACATTCCCCACTTTCACTGAAGCAGTGTTTGCAGTTGATCTCTCAGCTTCACTTACAATAACTCACTGGGCATGATGTATTGTGTAAGTGAATGGTTCTGGAAGGGTTAATATTGGACACTGCATGAGGTTTCGCACCCATTCTGATGATTTTATATAAGCTTGGGTGGGAAGGAGGCAGATCATCTCAGTATCTCAATGGTGCAGACCTACATCCAAACTAAGTTAACTTGCACTTAATTGCTATCATGCAACAAATGACAGCTTGTTAAGACAAGAACCTCTTCTTGTTAAGACATAATAGTGCTTAATCCTCGATGACTACTGGCCAAAACAGGCCCTTGGACCCAATCAAGGAATGAGGAATGGTCCCAGAACCATTCTACTTGCAAATACCGCATGAAAATCAGCGATGAGCATTTTCATTTAATACCACAAGGTAGAATGGTGAAAAACGTCCACTGGATCCGGGGACGGCGGGGGGAGAAATTTCCAGAAGACCAATTGAGCTTACAGTATTAAAATATTTGCCACGTGCAAAATTATTCACACAGAATCAGCAGCGGCAAGTGTTTAAACAAACAAGCAGTCAGCAGGAGTTTGTGGAAAGGCTAACAAGGGAGAAATGGCAACCCAGGCTTAAGCCTTAACTTCGGAGCTGCTAAAGAAGAACAGTGTGGGCTAGACAGAGCTTCAAGATTAGTCTGAACCTGCCAGTTACAGATTCTACCAGGAAGTAACGATCTGTAGATTTTCCCAGTTGGTGATGCAGCTAGTAGATGAACTTATGTGAACTCAACACATGAAGTTAAAAGTCCCGCTGGGTAAGGAGAAACACTTTAAATCACTGGTACAAAAAAACAGGCTGAGATGGCTAAAGGTAAACAAAAAAGGAGTTCTTAGTTCACGATGAGCATTGCTGCCATAACAAGTGAACAGCATGACGCCCAGCTACAGTCGGGAAATTAAAGGCAATAGAAGTAATTTATATTGAGGTCATAACACCAGGAACCAGAAGCAAAACCAAAAGGCTAATTTAAAAGCTAGAGCAAACAGAGTCTCACAGAGGAAGGCAATTATGAGACAGTTGAGGGCTTGACAAGAGTGGTACACTCAGAACTTAAACTATGGTTCGAGTAGAAACGACTTATTCAGGCCGCAAGCACAAGGCTTATTTGGAAATTGTGGGGAGAAAATGAACAATGTTTATTCGGCAATGGAGATGGGAAACACGTACTTCAACTGCAAAAATGTGTGAAACTTGGAAGTAAGCAGAACAGATACGCAGGATTCCTAGTAAACAGAATTCAACACTTTAGAAGAGAGAGAGAGAAATGTAGCATACTTATACTACACAGTTTAAAAGCCTTATATCAAGTAAAATAAAGCAGCATTGTTTCTTCAGATATAAAGAGATTACAACAGCATTGAGATGCTGAAAAACTGAAATGCTTCTAAGTATGAAGAACAAATAATCAATTAGAAAGACATGGGAGAAGAAATGATAATACCTGTAAGATATAATATGAGAGATAGGCCGAATAGAACACAGGATTGGACAGCTTGAAGAAAACAGATCTTAAGGTATTGCGTTGCTTCAGGCTTAAATACTGAATCACAAGTTAAAAAATAAACACACAATTATACTGAATGGGACCTACTACTGATGATGGTGTAAACTGGCAAAACCAAGAAGAAACAGATATATCTGAAGAAATTCTACAAGTTATACTTTTGACAAAATCTTAAACTGAGAACAAATAACATTCTTGAAAGAGCAATATTTAA